TCTCTAGTGTCATGACATTCACCCTAAATTTTATGAAAATTATTCAATTGAATCAATAGTTACTAGGGGGAAGGCACGTGAACATGATACCATAAGCTTATAAGAAGAGTGAGATGGGTGGACATGCAGCATGCGTGGTAGAGATGAAAACTCATAGGGAATATTGGTCAGAAAATTTGTATGGAAGAAATAATTTGGAAAAATTAGACGTTGATTTAAAGTTGGTAATATAATAACGTTCAAGAAAATCAGAAACGAGGAAGGAGACTGGATTCATCTGGCTCAGAACAGGAGCAGTGGCTATTTTTTTATTTTTAAATGGTAATGAAAATTCGGGTTCTATAATGAGCATGAATTTTCATAATTAACTGATAGACTATCAATTTGTCAGGAAGCTTATGCTTCGTGAAGTTACACTTAAAATTTAGATAAGAAAACAAGACTATAATCATAGGGCACAAATGACAACATTTTATTGCAAACATGGATATAGGTAAGAGTTAATGAATGCAAGTTGCAAGCAGTGGCAGAAAGGAGCGAATGGAGGATACGCCTGTCAACAGAAGCTTCACAGCAGTACAAATCGTGAGTTCAGAGAACGCTGTTAATTGCTGGAGAAGGAATGATGTAGAGGGGTCAGATGTTGATATAAATGAAACAACATGATGCACTTGAAAGAAAGGGGAACCATGTGCGATTTTAAACAGGAAACCCTCGTTTTTTTAACATCTTTAAATGAGGCGCCATACAACTTCTCATGGTGTTACCGCTGTGTCAGAATAAATACCTCAAGCTGTGTTCTGCAGTCTGGAATAACACGACTCCTCAAGACCACATACCGAAGGATAAATTGAAGAATGCAGAGAAGAGCTACAGACAGCGAGACCTTTATGAAAAGCTGATAGTCTTTAAGGATTGCCTCTGTAGTCTAGTGGTCACAGTTCCTGGCTAGAGATCCAGAGGTTTCGGATTCGATTCCCGGCGCTACCATATTTTCTGGTGGGTCTGGAACGGAGTCCACTCAGCCTCATGAGAATAACTGAGAGCTATTTCAAGGATATAGCGTCTCCGGTCTAGAATACCAAGATTAACGGCCGTGGGGATCCGTTGCGCTCACCACGTGACACCCTCTATCCGCAAATTTGGCACTAAATTCGCCGGTAGGTATAGTTCGCTTGCGGACTACAGGCCACGGAGTTGTTTTGATAGTCTTTAAGCTCTTCATAGAATTATCAGTCTCTTATAGAATAATAAGCTTCATTACCATAAACACAAAAGTCTGCCCATGGATTAAAATCTGAGCCAGTTAATACAGTCGACATCCCTCACACATTATGTTTTTAAGAGCTAGAGGTACACTAATATTAAGCGTCCCATTTACGCCACAGTCTCATATGCAGTCTCTTCCCTTGAGGTTCCTAGACCAAAAATTTTATACACATTTCATAACTTTGTCATATGTGACAGATGTTCTGTCTTTTTCTTTTTGTTTCATCCTGGTCCGTCACACTAACAATATTATAAAATGTTAATTAATTCCGTCCAGTGTGACTGGTGATTTTTTTCTTTTTTAATATTTTATCCTTAACATGTTTCAGTTTTATAGACCATCTTCAGAAGGATATCAATACAATTTCCTTCAAAAAGAAGAAATAAAAAGGACACGAACCAATTTGGTTTAAAAATGTTATCAAAATACATTTAAACATATTAATTGTAATATATAAATATTTTAACGTATTAGTACAAGCCGCTGTAGTTGTTAAAACATTATATTTTGTATTCATTTTATTATGATAACATTGTATATGTATATATTAATACCCTCAAAGCATATTGTAATAGTGGTTTCTAATTTTATTGATATTCTTCTGAAGATGGTCTATAAGACCGAAACATCTTAAGGATATAATATTAAAAAGGAAAAAAAACTTCATCAGTCAAACTGGACGAAATTCATTAACCTTTTATAATAGTTCTGTCGTTTCGTCCTAGTGGATTCGTTCACCATAATATTTTTCATGAGCAGTACATATTATTTACCTACTCAATTAGTATTTTACTCTGTGATTCTGAAATTCTTCAGTCCAAGTATGTATCTTATCGCTTTGTTCTTAAAGAACTTGAACTTATCTATTTCTTTGAGCGTGAGATACCAAGTTTCATACCCAGAAATTCATAATTGTATGTTTTGTTTACCTTTAAATTCCGTGCTTTGGAAAGTATTAGCGACACTAAAAGTTGCGAAGCGGATAAGAACAAGCAATTACATAAAATGTATTATTGTAATTCTTCTATTGTCCCAATATTTAAAATTTTTCAAATTTCTTTTGCAAAGAAGAGTAGATGCAAAACCTGCTGTTATTTCGATGCCCACGTGTCACATTTTTCAAAAAGAATAAGTACAAATAATAGTTGTGCGTTATTATAAATCAAATGTTGATAAATACTGAAATAACTGGTTTACCGTTATTTAATCGGGTTGTTCCAACTACAGATTTTCACCATGTTTCGGATTATTTTGGAAGATGATCATGAATGACGAGTAGGTAAGGATTAGTAAGGAATTGGTTGTAACCTGTTCCAAGGGTATTACATTTGTATTCGTCTTGGGAGGAAAACGAAAGCCTCACTTGAAATAATCGGTGTCCTATCGGAGGAAAAAAAAAAAACATTTTATTCGAATGAGGTCTTTGGAATCAAACATGATTTTGGAAACTTATGCAAGGAAGTTAGTACTTTGGAAGCCTATTTCTAAGTTGCGGTTCAAATAACCAATAGCAAAATATGCTCAGTTTGGCAAGGCGCAGTTCAGAGTTCCGAAAGCGCCGTAACGTTTCTCATTACTCGAAGTAAAATCAGATACACTGCAACGTCATCATAGATATGTCGAACGTCAATTTTTCATTATCAATCAGCTCTGCTACATCAAGATTTTTCGTTCGGTTACCACACAGTTTTCCATTTTCATAAGGAGGAAAAGACGAGGAAAAAGACGTAAGAAGATGCTGGATGACCTTGAGGACAGAAGAGGATATTTTTATTTGAGGGAGAAAGCTCTAGATCGCATTCAGTGGAGGAACTCTTTTGGAGGAGACTGTGGACCTGTCGTATGACAGATTACTGATGAAAATGAAAAAAAAATATAATTTCAGATTATGTTACATAATTATGCTGTTGAAAACAAGCCGTTAAATAGACCAGCCAACCATAATTCTAAAAAGCCAGTTGCATTTCACTGTGCCTGTTAGTAAGAGAACTTTAAATAATTGAATTATTAGCGGAACTGAATCCAGATAATATGGTCAAAGGCAGGAATATTTTATTTTAAAGAACAGGCGAAGATTAGTTCAAACGTTCTGATTGAATACAAAGAGTTCTCAGTGCATACCTATAAAAATGGAGTTATCCCTGTGTTTAACTGATTAAGCACTATATCATGAAGACGTATGAGGGATTGGAGGTATAGCTCCACCATTCTTGTCTTCGACACTAGATGGAGGTGAATGGACAGCTTCACGCCTCGATGGCTTTACTCCTGGGGAAAGAACCCGCGGTACCCATTGGGTAGAAGGCTGACTGCGCCCCAGAAACCCAGAAAAGGTCTGGACTCTGTAAAGAAGAGTAAAATTTTGCTATGCCAGGCCATTTCTATACCGACTGAGCTTTCCGACTCCTAATGTAGATCTATGTGATTTAAAAAATACAGCGAACTGTAGGTAAGGATATATCAGGATATAAGAAGAAATGTAGCTCTAAAGCCATGTAGTCCACAGACAGCAAGAAAGAATTATTATCAAATCGCATCGCATCCCAAGATATTTTTCGCCGAAAACAACAAGTCCTTTTAATCGATCAAATATGTTAGTTTATGGCATGGATCTGAAATCGTAACGTACTGCACTTTGGGGCTATATTTATAGATATGCAGTCCAGAATATTCATACTTTGTGCACATGCAAGCTATAAATATCTCTCTTATTTTAAAAATATTAATAATTTGCTGTTGAATACTGATTTAGAGCCATAAAAGTTGAAGGTAGACATTACTTTCAAACAGACATTCTTAGGTACGGCCTATTATAAAATTGCCATGCGTAGTCATGTAGTAACATATGAATGTACAGAAAGTACATATATGTTATTGTAGTTGGTATAATTGCCTACTCGTAATATAGGTAAAATACCCATTCTTCGATCAAGACTTTCTTAAAATGCTCTGCATGAAGTAATGAACTTGCTCTTTTCTTACATCACACATCTTCAATAACATCTTGCTTGTTAATCAAAGTTAAGTGTACATTTGATTAATCTTTTACATTAACCTTTAATGAATTTCATAAACAGTGTAAGAATAGTCTACAAGCACACACTGCCCTCTTAACTGACATAGAAAGTTAGTTCGCCATGAGAAACAAAAGTTAATTATTCATACTTATTAATAAATTCAGGTTTTAAAACGAAAGAACGTGACATCACAATTTTCCTGTTATTGATTCTCGTGGTGCTGCATAGTAACATGTCTTGTAAATATCAAATATATCGCTTTTTACATTCCTAACAAAGTCTGTACAGCGACAGAACAGAGACGAAGAGAAATCGCTTTATGCATTATACTTTATATTGTACAATATCACGAACAAAGTTGACAAACCAGAATGAAACTGAAGAAACGACGATTTTGCATTGCACGTAATGTGTAAAACATTATCCAGGTATTCGCCAGAAGAAACATAATTATCATTTATATTACTTATGAAATAGTATGAATAGATGGTTCTAAAGACCACTAGTGTAATCAGTGGATGAATTTACAGATTAAACTAATAGAACTAATAATGTATTTCATGGCAATCAAAACAGAAGCTACATTTCTCGACCATGAGCTTGAGATCATGAACCTGAGATCAAGATGTTCGCCACAAACAGACATCATCACGCATGCGTCATGATGACCATGTGGCCGTATGATTCTGCTCAAGATGGGGGTCGTCCTTGGTGCAGCTACAGTCTTGTGACTGAAGATACAGAGAGGATGTTGTGACTGCAAGATGGGAGGAAGACCCATGTCACTCGCGATGGTACGCCTGCATTCCTGAGTTGGTGGTGGTGTTTGTGGTGGTGATTGTGGTTGTAATAGTAACGTATGTAGCTCCGCGAACAATGCAGCTCAGGACTTACGAGGTGAAGGGATGGCCCATCCTCGTACTCCTGCTGATTATCAGGACATCGACACAGGATCCGGAACCGACAGGTATTGAACAAGTCGTACCAACATTTCCAAATCAACTGTTGGCTATGGTTTGGAGCATGACGGTTCTACGCACAATAGTAAAACAAAAATATTTTTATTTTACACTTTCCGAAAGTTACGGTTGTGTTGTTACTATGCTCCTTACTTCAGGAGATTCAGGTTCGATTACAGGTTCGTAGTTAGGATATACTGACTGAGACACTTCATTATTTTGCTTTCGTATAACGCTGGAACAATATATTAATATAGGATAAGGGATCATCCTTCTACACCTCTAACAGTTTATCGTTAATTTTCTTACTGTGGAGCTACTCAATACTTCGTTCTCTAGTGAAATAAAGTTTATAAAGAAACAATAAATATACGCCATATAATTCCGAATACAAATACCATCTCCAATATTTTCAATGAGAAAATAATAAAATAAGTATTTTCGACAAAAACCGAATGTCACTAATTCTCAAGTTACTCTTAATAACAATTCCTTTCAAGCTTATTCTTAAGGACCCAAGGATGGGGAGAATCCTTATCCCTCATATCTGGGATAAATTGGTACTTGTGACGTCATTCAGAGTTACAAAGTTTTGTGCTGGATTTAATACCCTGATAAATGGTTTCTCAACATATCACAACAGTCTTTATATCCACAAGATATATGAAAGGTTAGAAAAGTTTCTGTGGAACGCTAGGAAAATCTTCAATACTGCAATTCATCGCACTGGATCAAATTAACAACTTTCTCTGCGAATTTAACCAGCTACGGACTCGAGACCATTGCTGTAATAAGCACGGAATAACCTCTGACATCGCAAGGGACTGAGAGAGCAGCTTTATAGTATAACACCGTTCATTCATGTTTATCAGCTTCGTACGATGTGGCAATGTGTGATGCTGCGATCCTCAAAATAAGAAAAAAGTCAGAGACGCATGTTGGAACGGGGTGACAGAATAATGGCTGTAGCAAACAGTTGCAGCTCGCTGTCATAAAAACGACAATAGTGACAGTTGTTCCATCCACGTGGTCTAAGATGTAGTACCAATCCGCCAGTCTAAGCAGATTAATGCAAATGCATTCCTTACTTTAAGTTACTTCACTGGGTGTTTTTACATTGGATTGTGTACCGTTCTGCTTAGTTTTTAAGAATACTTCACTGAACACACGCATGATTTTACTTACTTACGGAGCTGAGCCCTTCTTGAGGAGAAGCCAAATCTGCAGTTACTCAAGAATTTCCCAGCATTTTATGGAACCCGAAAGTTCATTATCGTGTTCACAAGAGCCCTCCACTGGTCCCTATCCTGAGCCAGATCAATCCAATCTATATCATCCAATTCTGTCTCTCTAAGATCCATTTTAATATTGTCCATTCACTTACGCCTTGGTCTTCCCCGTGGTCTCCTTCCTTCTGGTTTTCCTACCAATATCCTATATGTTTGCCTCATCTCCCCCATTCGTGCTACATGAGCTGCCCACCTCATCCTCCTTGACTTGATCATTTTAATCATACTTGGAGAAGAGTATAAGTTATGAAGCTCCTCATTATGCAGTTTTCTCCAACCTCCTGCGTCTTCATCGCTTTTCGTTCCAAATATTCTCCTCAACACTCTGTTCTCAAATACCCTCAGTCTATGTTCCTTCCTTAAAGTCAGAGACAAAGTTTCACACCCATACAGAACCACAGGCAAAATTATAGATTTCTTTTTCAAATTTTTATGTTTTTTGAACACGCATAAGCTACAGGAAGAAATACTGCGACGCATCCAGATATGACGAAAATAAACGAGAGCAGAGTATCTTTGAAAAGCTAAGATCCACTTAGATGGTCAGGATATTATATGGAACTTGAAGTTGTCATTTGACCGCGTTCACAAAACCAAATGACTATTACGCGCAGCTGCCAATTGCATAATACCCATTATAATATTATTCTCTCACTTATGTCTGGGTCTTCAAAATACTCGGAACCCCGTTTCTTCAGATTATCTACCAAAGTTCTGTAAGCATTTCTTATCTCTCGCATGTATATGTTCTTTCCATCTCATTCTCCTTGGTCTGATCATCTTAATACTGGGTGAAGATTACATATTATAGAGTTGCTCATTAAGCAATTTTATGCATTCTTCTGTTGCGCCTATCTATCTATGGCTCTACAGCCCTCTTTTGGACCTTGACCGCTTTTTCAATTTCTTAATCCTATACATAGTCGGTAGGACTTCTTGGACTGAGGATCAGCCAGTCGCAAGGCCGCTACCTACACACAGGACAACACAAATATAGAATGAACGCACAAAGACATCCATACCCAGAGTGGGGTTAAAAGCCACGACCCCAGTTTTCGAGCGGACGAAGACAGTTCATGCCTGAGACCGCGGGGCCACTGTGATCGGCGCCATCTTCTTTAGGTGCGAACAAAATTTAGATGGCACAAAGAGAACAAACAAAATATAATTTGTAGTTTGTGAGGAAAACTAATCTGTAAAAGAACGAAATGGTGACGATATTTCTTTAAAATAGATAATGCTAAAGGGAACGACAGGCCCTAAGAAATTTGTTCTTAACCTCCCCACTCAAATCTCCTCAAATCTACGATGGCGAAAAAAATTCTGACCATAAATGTTAATGTTCATATTCTTTATATCAAATTTTACATGTAACGATTTTATATTGATCTTGGGGTACTCAAACTGTGTGATACGGCCATCCCCTAAAATAATTCATACTAATTTACGTTATCTCCCCCTCCCCCATACGAGACTATGCGGTGACAGCAGGATCCTGACAGCTTCACAAACTTCCTACACATACAGTGAGCTGTACAGTCGATTCACGCAACGTTTCGCCGGCTGCAGATATATTTTCCGAAAGCAGCTACTTTACCATTGTCGAACATTAAACCTAATCTTCCATATTCACAGTGGGAATTAGATGCTGTAGCTGATCAAACGAACTGCTGAAAATAATGGCTTACAACTGTCAGAGAGCTGACTTTATGCTGCGTCAGAGAAAAAATATTATTCAAAATCATTAGGCCATATCCGGGAACTTCAGTAAAATTTCAGAAACAAAATGGAGGTATAATCTGTAATATCACTTATACAATTCTCTCATCGTTCTTTTGCTTCAAGATTCAAAGGGCTAAGAAAATAAAACTCGAAAAAGCTGACATTCAAGGCATGAATCAACGAGGGTTTTACACCCTACCCTAAGATATTTTAAGGTGGCCGTGTCCTCGTAAACGATGTCTTTAAATTACACATTTCACTATTACCCATTACATGAATATGTACAAAATAACCAAGTAGTTCTCAACAGAAGTTAACATCGAGTCATTTCCTCGTGTAAAGAAATCATTTTCGAGTCACAATTCAGTTTTATTACATATCAAGCGCAATATTCGCACAAGAAGTTGTTTCAGGAACACATATTTTCTTGTCTTTTGCAGCCTGTGTTGCACTTCTCATGGAGTCTATGGTCCAGTCCTTTATTCCAGTATCAGCCATTTAAGAATGACTGAAACATCAAGACTAAATACTCTTAGTATCAGGTTCCTAATTTCTGACTGCAGAAATTTCCAACCATGTTAAGTAACCGCAATTAGGCAACCCAGTACTAATCTAAACATGGCAGCATAGCGAGGAATTTAAGCTTCTGGAAGCGATGGAAACACATTATATGAACGTTAAAATGTGTATAATTAAGTTCATATAAATAACGTGCAAGTTAGAACTCACGTATGGTTTCGAAACTTTAGCTCTGTAAGTGAAAATATTACGTAAGAATTGGCAGAAACACAAACGCTGATGGTAAAGCAACACTGTTGGTTCAACGTCCAATCTACCGCTGCTAAGAAACTGGTAGTGCAAGGGGTATAAGATGCTGCGGCCACAATTGCAGAGCTGCCCCTATTTCCTGCAAAACCTCGGTATCCAAAATTAAACGCCTATCCGAAATATGGTGACTTTGTCCTACACCAGAGACAAGGAAGACTGCGCCATAGCTCAAGCGGTTAGTCGCTGGCTTCCCGCTGCGGCGGCCCGGGTTCGATCCCGGGTCTGATCAAGTGCGACTTGTGGTGGACAAAGTGGCGCTGGGGCAGGTTTTCTCCGAGTACTTCGGTTTCCCCTGCCAACCTTCATTCCACCAAATTCTCCATCATCGTAATCACCCGGGGCAAGCTACAATAGGCCAATCAGTGGCCGCCGTGCCGAGTGGACCCAGTAGGACTCCATCCCCCACTAAGCGAATTAAAAAAATCATACAACTGGAGATTCATTCTGCGATAAATGACAGAAAAGTAGGAATCCTACATTGGGAACCAAGCTATAGAACGGATACGTCCGTCTACCAAGTCTCTTAGAGACGTAAGCACAGGAGGAGTACAAACCAGCATTCCACCGCAAAGGCCAGGTCTCAATCCTACAGGAGTCCCCGTGGGATCCAGCACAAGATAAGTAGAACTGGGTTTAGGTTCCAGGCAGAAAAACATCTCACTGAACTACTAGGAATTTACAACCGATGACAAGTTGGTTAAAATTTTACCCAGAAAAGCGTGGGAGTTGTCAAATCGGTCCATCTCAAGGACTCAACCATCACAGCACAACATCGAAAAAGTCCGAAGTCCATGTATACTGTGAGAGGGATTCGAAATCACGATCGCAGTATTCGAGCTGAAACCTTGTGAATCTCAGACCTCGGACATATTTATGTATTAAGAAGATGCACCCCCGTTATAAAACCCTGGGCCCAGTCAATGAAATTCTTGGTATTTTACGCTAACTTCAGTTCGCTGCCCGACGCAGAATGTACAGGCCGATACTTGTTACAGCACTCGAGCCACGTTGCTTCTGAGTGCGTTGGCCTTGCAGATTCACGAGGCCGTTTGAAACCAAGTCTGAGTATGCGTCTGGTGAACATATTTCGAGATGATTCATTGCGTTTCTTGATGATTTCTTCATAACTTCACTCCCACATTCCCTTTTAACAAACAAACATCTTGCCTTTGCAGTATTATTGAGACAGGTCACAGAGAAAATTGTGGTCAGTAAAATTTTGAAGAAGTTTAATGCAGTCAAGGCGGTAAGTGTTCAGAACTTGTTCTGCACTGGAACACCGTGCGGTCCTGCAGGTAGAGATCTTCAAGGGCACAGACCAAAAGAATATGGTTTGGATATTGCGAAAATTCTTATTATTATTCAATTCGAGATATCTTATCATCGGTCTATCGAAGTTTACGGTACTCAAAACAATAGTCCTGTTACTTGTTTTGTACGAGTGTGAAACTTGGTGTGCTAAGGAAGAACAACTTAAAATTTCATGGAAACAGACAGCTCAGGAAAACATTTGGACCTAATAAAGATGAGGTAACGGTGAAGGACGATATATACCAAAAAGTTCCTGGTTAGATTACTGACTGACAGGAAAGTTAGTCTAGAATAATTGTCTAAAGCAGAGGTACGTGAAACATCAGAAGGGGCAATAACACATATCTCATACTTTGTCAAACACAAGCCAGAAAGGTCAAATATTATTGATAACTTTCTCTTCTACATATTTTTTCAACTACCCTGAAGATGGAGGCGATACGTTCCTCCGAAACGTCGGTTAACACCACATATACACGGTGCCAAAATCCCAGAAGACTGCTTTCTTCGAGATTAAGTTCCTTCTGTTTTTCTGAGGCCAAGGATTACATCGAATGAAACTTTTGTCTAAAAATAACAAAGAAGAAACGAACCTGCCAATGTAGTCATCAGAATACAGGAAGAAGACCTAAGGGTTTTTAATAGATTCTTTATAATTTGTTAGAATTTAAAAACATAGTAAAAGCAATAAAACGTCGGAATAATTTGGGAACAAAGATGAATCATCTAGATAAGTCACCTAGGATCTAACCTACCGCGGATAAATTACTTAGCATCTGTTTGAAGTAAATTACAAGAAAATTTATATTCGAGCCTGTGCCGGTCACGGTATCCGAGCGGTTTAAGGCATGCACTGTCTTCTCTCGCTCGGAAGCCGGGATCGTGGAATCGAATCTCACACAAGACATGGATGCTTGTATATGTATGTGTCTATTTTGTGTTTGTGTTGTCCCGTGTGTATGTAGAGGCCTTGCGACGAGCTGATCACTCTTCCAAGGAGGCCTACAGTCTGTAAAATGATCATGAAACTGAAAATCAGAGACCAGGCCCAAGGGGGGCTGTAGAGCCAGTAACAAAAAAATATTCGAGCGTAGAGACTTGTAGATATAAACGAATTTTGCAACAAGCAGCACTATTTTTATAATCTCTCTACAAAAAAAAATGTTCTTATTCATAAATTAAAATGATGAACTAATCAACTAGCCCGAAGCTGTAAGTCGTTCTTCGCCGGAGGGCCAATATGGGAGCAACTAAAACACTGGCCTCATTCTGGAAATGTTATGAAGAGATGCACAGAATTAGTCTGCAAGTATTATAGCACAACTTATGAACAAAGCAGCACAGAGAGCAAATACAAAGCTACGTATCAGAAACAAATATCACGAAAGGAAACGAACATGTTCAGAAAAATATCCGGACCGAAGAGAGATGAAGACAAAGGTCATTTTAAGATACAACACAACAAGGAACTTCGCAATGACCACACGCTGTAGACAATTCAGTATTTTTGTGACAGTGAAATCTAGGAGGCTTAAGAGTGCTGGACACGTGACCAGGACTGGGAAAAGAAGATATACACTTAGAATTTTGGTGGAGAAACTTCTTGGAAACAGCTACTTGAAAAGATCGAGCAAGAATGTCAGAACAAAAACTAATGTGACACACCGAGAATCCGGGTAGATGAGTGGGTGGAACTGCTGAGGTAGTGTTCAGTGAAATTTCTTGGTTGTGTGGGTTATTTAACGACACTGGCAGTAACTAGACTCGGTCGTGGGGATTCGTCGCGCTGACCACGCGAGACCCTCTATCCGCTAAAGTTGGCATTAACTTCGTCGACAAGCGGCGGTCGCTCGGTCGATATAGTTTGCTGACGGACTAAAGCCACGGTGTCAGTAACTAGACTGCGGCATAGCGTCAGATGGTGGGATAACTGGAGAATGACAGTTTAGAAAGGATTTGGATGGAAGTGGTCATGGCCTAATCCAGGTACTATCCTGGCATTTGTCTGGAAAAACTGAGAGAAACATCAAAAGAGCTAAGTCAGGATAGTCGGGTTCCCAACCAAGATTCGAACCGTGAACCTCCAGAATACAATTCTAGATCATTGCTTCTAGTGATCTTTATAAGGGCCTCAAGCGAGCAGAATTCTATTGAAGTAAACAGAACCACTTTCCGAAGCCTTGTGCATATCAGACATACATATATATCAGACGATGAATAGTGTTCAACATAATGCACTTAAAATGAAACAACCATTGTCACATATTTCTAGAGAACCATCCAATGACAGGCTTTGTTACTGGAAGCTTTGGTTATATAATTAGTTTATGAATATTAAAAGCACTATATAAATTAAAGTATGAGATACGGGTTGGATGACCAAGGAATGGTGGTTCTATTCCCAGGAGGGGAAAGAGACCTTTCTTTCCTTCACAGCGTCCAGAAGGTCTGTGGGACACACCCGGACTCCTATCCAACGGGTATCTAGGGACGATGCTGAACACTCACCTCTATCTAGTACAGAAGTTAAGAATGATGGAGCTATACCTCCACTCCCCCACCCGTCTTCGTGGCGTGCTGCTTAATTAAACACAGGAACAGCTGTTCTTGATAGATCTACTACACTGACATAACTAATAAAGTAAGTGGAGGAGCGTCTTTCTTGGGATGCTCACAGGCGTCAACTTCACGTTTATTGGAAAAATTATATGTACGTGCCAAAATATGGAAAAATAATATATATTTTTAACATTTGCGTTGCAAATGTAGACATATATCGAAAAATGTTACACTCAAAAAATTAAAGAAAAATAGGCATATATAACTCGCCACATGAAGCATAACAAGCACACATGACATTCATTATATTAATTAATAAATTAAGTGAAAGTATAAAAAGATATTAATGGATATTAGAGCAGAGGTTATGGGTGTCAGTATTAAAAACCTCCATTTATGAGTCTAAAAAAACACTATTACCTCTAAGCTATCGTAATCATGTCCAAGACATTCTTCGTCGAACATGTTGTTCTCTGTTTCTTCAGAATCGTGTGACTCTTTTCTGTGTCTCTACGAACAAACTGCGGTTTTCTTTCCCAACCGAATGAAAGCTGATTGTCCAAACATGTGTTGACCATATCAAATTCTGTAAAGTCACTCACCCGGTTGCATATCAAATAATATCTATCGAGATACTTCTATAGGCCACATAAGTACCACGTAAGTCACAAGTAAACAGTTCATTTATTAAATTAACCGTGTAGCTATGGGTTCGTTCCTAAAATTGTCACATTCACCCGCGTGTTTCTCCCGTGTCTTACTGGAGTACCTACTGCTTCCGTTACGTGACAGAAAAGTAACTTTTCATGTTGATAACATTAGCCTTGAGCCTATCTCTGGTCAGTCCACGACTGCAGCCTTGACAAACAGAAATATGGCGTTAAGTTAGGTGAATTAAATTTGAGGTTTCTTTGGCTGTGAATAATTAAATTGTCATTTCTTGTTCTGGCACGGTGTAACTGAGGAGCCGGGATAGCTCAGTCGGTATAGTGACTGGTTACCGGCTGGACGACCGAGGTATCGGAGTTCGAGTCCCGGTAGGGTCAAGAATTTTCTTTTCTCCACGTCGTCCAGACCGGCTCTGGGGTCCATTCAAATTCCTATCGAATGGGCACTGGATACTCTTTCCTCAGGGGTAAAGAGGCCGGGACGTGAAGCTGACCACTCAGCTCCAACTAGTGCCGAGGTCAAGAAAATGTGGAATAATACATACACTCCCCCATACGCCTTAATGGCGTAATGTTTAGTTAGTTAAGTACAGGGACAACTTTATCTTACCGTTTGCGGAATGACTGAGCAAACTGGATCAAGAGGTAACATTTGTTACTTATATTGAGGCAGTTTCCGGTTCGTATCTCGGAAGGCACATTGGCTGTCTTGACTGAGATTTCCCATGGTGTTCCTCAGTTTCTCTAGACATATTCTTGGATAGTACTTTCATTATGCTAAGACCGTTTCTATTCATTGTTCTATGCAGTGCAATCATTCAACAGCTGAAAGTTTCTTGAGAAATCAATATGAAAGTTTCCAACTTTTGCAGGGTAAAACAGCACAACAATTCGGTTGAATTTCCCTACACCTCGTTACCCAATTCCCTTTCTGTCCGTCAGCATAATCAGAGTACGAGGCTGTGTTCAGCGTGGTTCTGCGGTCCCTCTGGTGATCCATCTCAGATTTTTTTTCCCCTTGACACTACAGCCCCAGTAGGCCTAGGGCTACCTCCATGAACTTCTCCGTTCACTTCGGTTTTTTTAGATCTTATACATTCGGCAGGACTCCTTGGGGGGGATCAGCTCGTCGCAATACCTCTACCTGTACACAAACACAGAAAAACGCACACACACAAACTAAACATCCATGCCCTCAATGGGATTCGAACCCACGATCCCGGTTTCCAAGCGAGCGAAGACAGTACATGCCTTAGACCGCTGGCTACCGTGACCGGCCCATCTCAGAATTAGCCTATGAAAATATGAGCCGTATAAATTAATCATCGGGTAGGTCTAGGGTATCGCCGATCGGCAAACCAGTACGCGTGCAGGACAACGCAAATACAGACACAAACATTCTGATAGAATTTTTTATAATTAAACAGTATTAGGGTTAATGGTCTTGCTTCTTTTGATATTTTCACTGCAGTTGGGCTGATATATGACTGTTTATGATGTCTGCACGGTAGGGTAGACCGATAAGTACCAGTGGCTTTTCCTACTTGGCATTTGTCTTACGTCACTGTTTTGTTCAAGACCGAAAGGCACGTGTTACATTTCCTGCAAAAGAAAATCCTGTATTGTACAATCTGCAGGAAATAATTAGGTAAAAAAAATCGTCAGATACAGTATGCTTCAGGCCGCGCCATGGCTCAAGCGGATTTTTTTAATTCGCTTAGTGGGGGGTGGAGTCCAACTGGGTACACTCGGCACGGCGGCCACTGATTGGCCTATTGTAGCCTGCCCCGGCTGATTATGATAACGGATAATTTGGTGGAATGAAGATTGGCAGGGGAAACCGAAGTAAGTAAAGTAAAGTTATCCCTGTAAAAGGCCGTGAAAGCCCATAGGGTTGTGAGACGTTGAGGGTCCCACACTATCTAGACAATCGGCTCAAAGATGGCGGTAAGGTTGTCAGCCTTACGAGCTGGCCGCGCTTTACTCCTCAGAAAAATTATTTAATTAATTCCTGGTACTCATTTCTGTTAGAGGCTGAGTCGACCACAGGGCCATAGTGCGGCTGGAAGGATTAGGTCATTCGAAAAAAATCCAGCGACCTCATCGGGACTTGAACCCGCGACCTTCCGGCTTGTAGCATAATGTCTCAATTAATGCATGTGATAAATGTATGTCTCAATAAATGTACAATTTATATTCGTAAATTTGTTGCAATGGTGAATATTTAAAGAAACACATGGAAACGTAATTTATGACTATGCAGTGTAATTTCTGTAGCTTTGAAACAACAGATGTAATCGCATTTGCAGCAAATGCAAGCAAGGGCCACACAGACTTGGAAGTACTCCATTTTGTTTAATTCAATCAGACAGCCGGTTCTGACGTAACGTTGTTTGAAAGAGGAATGCACGTCATTAACCGTTAAGGACATTAACCACGCAAGAGCTTAAGTAATGCTGAAGACAAGTTTCAAGCGATAAGTTTCAGCACAGTTCAGGCATCTTCAGAAATGTGAATACAATGTATATAGCGAAATGGTCATGTGGTGATGCAATTTGGGATTGTAAGCCTAGCATTCAAAAGGGAAACAAGAGAGTAATGTAAAAATTTGGTTAGAAAACGTCAACGGAAGTACAGGTAAAGATGGTACAAAAATACTGAAGTGAATTTTATAGAAACAGGTTGTCGGCGAATTTTCTCAGAACATGGTCCTGTAGTAAGTGTTTGTGAAGGGGGGAGGACGAAGTTTTGATCCAACACGTCAAGGCCTTTAGACTTGGGCCGGGATTCTAATTAGAATGGGGACAATAAAACGTAAATATGTGGAAGATGAAGAGACATGTGCCTCACCCTTTAGGCCAATAGATCTTAGGTAGAAATACAGGATTCAAGTTGTTTTTTCCCTTGGCACTACAGCCCCAGTGGGCCTAGGCCTACCTCCATGAACTTCTCCGTTCACTTCGGTTTTTCTAGATCTTACATATTCGGTAGGACTCCTTGGGCGGTTGATCAGCTCGTCGCAAGGCCTCTACCTGTACATAAACACAGAAAAACGCACACACACAAACATCCATGGCCTGAGTGGGATTCTAAATCACGATCCCGGTTTCCAAGCGAGTGAAGACAGTACATGCCTTAGACCGCTCGGCTACCGTGACCGGCATTCAAATGTTTAGCTTTGTTACATCTGCAATATAAGATGACTTAAGTTGAACCAGAGGATCTTGTTTAAATGGATAAGTAATGACTGTTCAAGGAAGGTCCTAAGCTACTGAGTTAGTCAGTCAGTTGATTAGTTAGTTGAGTGAGAATTATTATAGTGAAAAAAGGCTAATCGCTGCTCGAGGAACTTCATTTTTCATCTTGTCATTAGCTTTCGTATATTTAGATTGTAATAGAACGGAGTATTGGACAATTTATATAGATGATAAATTTCTATTCATTCTATCTGATCTACTATAGACAAACGTTCTTGAAAACCCGGTCAGAAGCCAAGTAACAAAATCTACTTTAAAATAGAATAAAATATTTGTTAAATTTGTTGTGCAATTTATGAAATTGATGTTGTATTCTAGCATCCTGCTGCACTAGCAATGTTGCTTTTTGTACAGAGGTGCAAGCTCCGTTTTAAATGCAACACTTATTTTAGAATTTCATATATCTTATTACAACTTGTTTCGGCCTCATTCGTCAATCATCAGGTGTCTATAATCTTACTAAAATTGCTACAATGTCATCTTAACATGTCCTTATTTTTAATTAGCAGCTGTAATCAGTAATTCTAGGGAGTGTTAAAAATTCTAAAATTGAAAATAACAATGCGTTCCACTCGAAATACGAAAATGAGGGTGTAACAATCTTAGCAAGGTTATAGACACATGATAATGGTCGAAATATTCGAGAAAGTTTTCCCTGGCTTTCAAGTGATTATTTCTCCATTGCTGAAACTTTGTCTACACAGGCGTGCGTACTCACCCACCCACACGCAGACACAAGGGCGCGGACCGTCAACATGCGAGAGTCTGTAGTCCACGCTGAATGAACTGAACTACAGATGATGCTCATTACATTTGGCTTATGAGGAGTTTTAAAATCTGGACTGCTCACGAAATACTATTTTACTTACTTACTTAATCCGTGGGGGCACGCGGTAGAGTAGTTGGTTGAGGCGCTATGCTACAAGCCGGAAGGTCGCCGGTTCAAATCCAGATGAGGTCACTGGATTTTTTTTTTCCAATTGAACTAATCCTTCCAGCCGCACTATGGCCTTGGGGTCGACTCAGCCTCCGACAGAAATGAGTACCAGGAATTAATTAAATAATTTTCCTGGGGAGTAAAGTGCGGTCGGACCGGTCACGGTAGCCGAGCGGTCTAAGGCATGTACTGTCTTTGTTCGCTTGGAAACCGGGATCGTGGGTTCCAATCCCACTCAGGGCATGGATGTTTAGTTTGTTTGTGTGCGTTTCTCTGTGTTTGTATACAGGTAGAGGCCTTGCGACGAGCTGATCACCCGCCCAAGGAGTCCTACCGTATGTGTAAGATCTAGGAAAACCGAAGTGAACGGAGAAGTTCATGGAGGTAGGCCTAGGCCCACTGGGGCTGTAGTGCCAAGGGAAAAAAAGAAAAGTGTGGCCGGCGCGTAAGGCTCACAACCTTACCACCAACTCTGAGCCGATTGTCTAGATAATGTGGGAGCCTCAACGTCTCACAACCCTATGGGTCTTCGCGGCCTGTTACAGGGATGGCTTTACTTTACTTTTTACTTAATCCGTTCCTTTTATACCGTTACGTTGTCGAGATTGTTGTTTTTTATTTTGATTATTTTTACAGCCTGTATAACTCCTCGGATGAGTGATCAGATCGTCGCAAGGCCGCTTCCTAAACACAGGAAAATACAAACAGAATAAACACATATACATATCAAACATCCATGCCATAAGTGGGATTCGAACCCACGATCCCGGCTTCCGAGCGAGCGAAGACAGATCATATCTCAGATCGCTCGGCTACCGTGGCCGGCGACCGGCAGGAAATACGGTGACTAAAAAGAAGGAAGGTACTGGAAATG